TAAAATAGAAAGGAAATTCCTTAACGTAGTTAAGGACATATAAGCAAAACCAACAACCAACATTATTCTCAACAGAGAAAAACTGAAAGCATTCCCCTTGAGAACAGAAACCAGACAAGGATGCTCTTTATCACCCTTTTGTTCAGTATTGTTCTGGAAATCTTAGAGAAATAAGGCAAGAAAGGTAAATAAAAAGCATCTGAATTGGTAAGGAAGAAGTAAAACTATCCGTATTTGTAGGTAATGTTATCCTGTACATAGGAAATCCCCAAGATTTTACAGGACAGGTACTGGAACTAATAGAATAATTCAGCAAAGTGGCAGAGTACAAGATCAAAATACAAAAATCAGTTAGATTCCTCTAACTAACAAAGAGTACTTTGAAAAAGAATCAGGAAAATAATATCACCAAAAGAATGAGATACTTAGGAATACACCTAAGCAAGAATATAAAAGACTTACATGAAGAAAATTATAAAACATTACTATAAGACATAAAAGAGACCTACATAAATGGAAGAACATGCCATATTCCTGATAGGAAAACTTAATATTTTGAAAATATCAGTATTACTCAAAGCAATCTATGGACATAATGCAATCCTGATCCAGATTCCATCACATTCTTTAAAGAAATGGAAAAACTAATTATCAGCTTTATATGGAAAGGAAAGAGAACCTGGATAAGCCTTCTACAAAGTAGAAGGCTTCACACTTCCTGATCCCAAAACCTACTGTACAACTAGGCTAATCAAAAAAGTCTGGTGGTACTGGTATGACATAAACATATAGATCAGTGGAACAGAATTGAAATCCCAAAAGTAAATCCATCCACTTATGGACAGCTGATTTGCAACAAAGGACTGAAATCCATTAAATGGGGAAAGAGATAGTCTCTTTAACCAGTGGTGCTGTCAAAAGTAGATATCCCTTTGCAGAAAAATGAAACAAGATCAATACCTCACACCAAATACAAAAACTAACTCAAGATGGATCAAATACCTAAATATAAAACCTAAAAGTATAAAGATCATAGAAGAAAAAGTAGGAGCAAACTGGGGCTCTAATTTATGGCATAAATAGTCTATCAAACATAATTTAAAATTCACAAACAGCAAAAAAATAAACTAGATGACTAGAACCTCCTAAAAATTAAACACTTACGTGCATCAAAAGACTTCGCCAAAAGAGTAAAAATAGAACTTACAGACTATAACAAAATTTTTGGCTATGACACACATGACAAAGGACTAATGCCCCAAATTTATAGGAAACTTCCATATCTAAATAAAAGAGAAACAGCCTATTTAAAAAATGGTCATAAAGGACTTGAACAGACACTTCAGCAAAGAGACATTGAAACAGTCATTAGAGATCATTAGCCATTAGAGATAAGCAAATGAGATATCATCTCACCCTGGCAATAATTAGCAGTGATCAAAAAAACAGAAAACAACAAATGCCAGTGAGGGTGTGGTGAGGTTGGAACTCTCATGCACCACTGCTGGGATTGTAAAATGGTACAACTGGTGTGGTAAACTGTGTGGCCCTTCCTTAAAAAATGAGACATAGGGATACCTTATGATCCAGCAATCCCACTACTAGGTATACGTCCTTGACAAATATGAGTCACAATACAAACAAATACATGCATGTTCATATTCATCACAGCATTATTCAGAATAGCAAAAAGAGGGCAATAACTTAAGAGCCCACCAACTGATGAATAGATAAATTATACTACATTCACTTGGTGGGATACAATGCAACGTCATAGAATAATGATGAATCCACGAAACATCTCATAACCTAGAATGAACCTGGAGAGCATTTCCTGAGTGAAATAAGTCAATCACAGAAGGACAAATATTGTATGAGCCCCCTGTTATAAAAAGTTAAGAAAGGTTTATGTGCAGAAAGAAACATTCTTTGATGGTTTTTATGGATGAGAGGTGGAGGGATGGAAAATTACTAACTGGATAGTAGACATGTATTAACTTGTGTGAGGGGAAAGGCAATACTCAGTAAGAGGGAGTCGGCACAACTTGACCAAGGCAAAAGAAGACAATGGGATATATGCAAAAGAAAAAGACAACAATAGTAAACTGTTACATACACAATCCTGCAATAATAGTAGTAACAAACAATAATTTACCAGTTATTACCAAGGTAGATATGTAAGTTGAATGTTGGATGGCATATGAGAGTACACCCGTGAGCATATATAGGTTTGGCAGAGGATATTTCTACATATGTACTTATATGTGCTACAAAGATATCCAGTTATATAGTAGAGCACACAGGGAGGAAAGTTATGCAGACTTCTTAGCTATGAACAAACACCTTGAGGGACTGAGTCACTGGGCTTGAGCGTTTAGGAGCATAACCTCTAGGGTCATCTAGCTCAATTGGCATAACAAAGTCCACAAAGACAGTGTTCTACATTCTACTTTGATGAGTAGCAACTGCAGTCTTAAAAGCTTGCCGTGACCTCTAAGACACAACTATTGGTTTCTTCTTCCCCCAAGCAAAGAAGAGTGAAGAAAAACAAAAACTGAAGGAAACAGTTGGTTCAGAGGACTAAGGAAACACATGAACCAGAGTATCTACTAGCCTGAAACCAGAAGAACTAGGGGGTACCTGGCTGCTACTACCAGCTGCTAATCACAGCTGAAAGTCCTGGACAGAGTGGGAGAGAAATGCACAACAAAATTCAAAATCATGAAAAAGACCAGACTTATTGGTGTGATGGACACTGGTGAAGCCCTCAAGACTATGGTCCTTAGATACCTTTCAAGCCTGGACCTGAACCCACTCCTGGAGATCACCTTTCAGTCACACAATAGACAGGTCTATAAAGTGAACAGTAACACCCATAAGGAACGTACTCTTCAGAACAATCAACCATACAAGGCCAGAAGGGCAGCATTTGCCCAAAATCAAAGTTCAGAGGGCAGGAAGGGGCAGGAAACATGGACAAATGGAAGTAGAGAACCGTGGGAGGAAGTGGGAAGAGTGCTGTTCCAGTGAGGGGATTACAACTAATGTCACAAAACAAAATGTGTATAAATTTTTAAATGGGAAATGAATTCATTGTGTGAACTTGCACCCAAACCGCAGTAAAAATCTTTGAAAAGGAAAAATAATGGCTCATCACTGTGGTATTACCCCCACTGTAATATGTGCATACTTTGGTTACCTGTACCTGTCATACTGTGTTTGTAGTTGTTTACGCTTCATCTCATCCTCCTTACTAGACCGTGAGAAGGCCTATATCTTACTCATCTTCGTATCCCCTGACTTGACACAGGAATTTAGGTGTTAGTGGTTGTGATTTTCCCCTGTTCTAGCATTTGCTGCATTCTTGGATGTGACTGTTGATGCCAGTGTTTTGTTTCTAATAGTAGAACTGAGGGGGAGAAAAAATGCTTTCCTTTAATATAGTCTTTATCAAAGGGGGGAGAACGCACTAGTGATCAAGAGTGTCCTATATTTCCATGAAAATGGTAGTCAGGAAGTTTCTTTGTGAAATGAATATCCCTTGCAGCATTTATTATTATTATTATTGATTAAAAGTAATCCTTTGTACTGGTATCACTGCCAAAATTGGGAAAACAAAAATAGACTGAGTAATTAAGCCAAGTGTTTAATGCAAAATTGTTGCTAGTGTGTGCCCAAACACTTTCCTCATTCATCTTACCTACCTCCCTGTCCTTTGTAGGAATGTGAGTGTCCAATCTCCGGTCTCGTTTCTTCAGGTTAGGGATTACTTCTTCCTCATACATGTACATGTGGCTCTAATGCCTAATGTACTGCCTCAACATAATTAGTGCCAACTGTTTAACTTATTTACTAAATCAGTGAAACTGATGTAGCTTTGAGGGCAACAAAAGAAAACTAACTACCATGAGGAGTTAAATCATTTTTGAGGAAAAGAGCCAAGCTGTTTCATATAAGATAAGTATGACTTTCTTAAGCAGAAAAGTAGAAAGGATATTTTAGGTTGAAAGAATAACATATCAATATATAGTCATAAATGAGCCTAGTGTGCCTAGGGAGCAACTTGGTGTGGGTGTGAGAGAGCTGTGGGACCAGATCAGGGGAAGGAAGAGGAAGACAGTTGTAGGAAGCTACACCAATAAGAAAGAATGGAGGCCTTTGCTCTTTCAGGCTAATACTTGCATTTCATCTTTGGATACTTAGAACTTAGACAAAGGTTTTAATCAGGGGAGTGACATGATCAGAGTTATGTTTGGAGAAGAGAATAGTGCTCAAGGTGTAAAGGATAAATTGGAAAGAAGCAAAATTCTAAGGAGAAAGACATTTGGCTTTTGAATATGTGAATTTGAACTAACTGAGTTTCAGTGGGTGAGGGGGCAGCTTGGAGGTTTGAGACTCACTTCATTTTCTTAGTTGAAGGCACAGAATGGGTGACATCATACATGGAGAGACTAGAACAAGAAGAAAAAATAAATGATACTTTAGAGAGGGGAGAAACCAGGTTGGGAAACTAGGGAAGAAACAAGGTTTAAAATAAAAGAAGGAAGGGAGGAGAGGAGTGGTAGGCACTGTTGAGCGTTACAATGCTATTTAATTGGACAAAGTCTGCGATGAGCTTTTTGCATTTGACCATGAAGTTTTCTAATTCCTCTTGCTTATGGTTTGTCTAGTCTCTTGTTATAGTTTAAATTATTCACAAGAAGAAAACATAATATCAGTTTTAAATTTTCTCACAATGTCTGATAATTCGTAGATGGAGAACCACTTCTTTGCAGTGGTTTAGGGAGAGTCACAAAGATAGGAGTATTAGAGTTTTTATAATATGTTATATACATTACAAATTATCTTGGAAATTTGTACATATATGGAAACTAACTTGTATATCGAAGACAGTAGTTTCAGACTTAAAAGCAACATTACTTTTAATATACATTTGCCATTGATATATAAAATTGAATATTATACTACAGTGATTTTTTTTTTTTAATTTGTTTGCATAGCCTGGCACCTGTGTTTGCTCTGTTTGTACCATTTTACTGCTCCATACCAAGAGTCCAAGTGGCACAAATTCTGGGCCAGTTTTCCGTCACAAACAAGACATTGATTTATATTTTGGGATTACAGGTACAGTATGCATATTTATGTTCACATTTCTTTAACCAGATTTTTTTCTTTTCTTTTTGGTCTTTTTCTCATTTGATCTGTCAAAAACAATGTTTTTTTTCCCCATAAGTTTGGCTTCATGATCTATATCAGATGTTCAAAGGAAGTGTTACAGAATAAGAACATCAAGGTATAGCAAGTACTAGAATACTTTCATAGCCTTTAAAAATCTGATAAGAGCTTTCACTGTAATTTGTATCAGTGGAAAATATTTTAATTTCATTGTACAATTTTGTGTTGAATGCTTTTTAAAATCATAGTGTGACATGAAAACAATCAAAGGGTTGAAAGTGGAAAATCAGTGTCAATCTGTTGGATAGTGTCAGAAACAGAGAATGCTTTTCTATCTGAGCTTTTGGTTTTTTAAGAAGTGCTGTAAATTTTGTAACTTTGTGTTGCGTAGATATGATGTCATTGTCACATATGCTAAATGGTTCAGTGTGAAGACCTTTAGAATACTTACTGTCTGACTGCATTTTAAAAGGTTATCTTCACCAGTATTCAGTAAATACTGATTTTTCCCTGCTGTGTTCCAGGCCCTATGATAGAAGATACGTAGGATTTCCAATCTCCTACCTGTAATAATTGTTACTTTTCTTTTTCACTCATAGCTTTTGATGTAACATTTTATCCTGCTGCTACCTGTGGTACCATGTGTAGCTTGGCCTTTTGATCTACTGATTAATACTCATAGCATTCTTATCCCTCTCATAACCGGATACTAATGTCACTTTAAAATGCTCTCCTCATTCCCCTTTTAACCTTTCACATTTCCTCTAACTTCTCTAGTCTGCTGTCATATGTTATCAATGGCTCATCTAGGGTGGGTGTTTCCTCACCACTTTTACAACCATTTCTCATGAAATGTTTTTCTTCATCTCTTAACCTCCCCATGTTTTTACACTGTTCGTGTCTTTCCTAATATTCATATAACTTAATTGCCCATTTCTACATTTATTTTTATTGCTAGGATTTTCTCTGGCATGTATAATTCTTTGAAGATGTTATAACAAAAAGTAGAATGAAATGCTAGAAGAAATACCTTGGACCCGGAGCAGGAGACCCGAGTTCTAATTTTAGGGAGGTACTCACCAGCTGTGAGACTTGGGTCAAATCATGTGACCTTTCTGAGGCTCATAATTAAATTTATATAGTTCTTCCAACTCTGAAGTTAGGTCAAATCTTTGAGGGGACAGAAGCACTGTTTTAGTAATTACAGAGTAGGAATTCAGTGTAGTGTTATGGAAAGGCTTTGGATATTTAATGTAATCTGAACAGATCCTGGATATTAAGAGTAATCGAACAGGTAATTAGAACTAAATAATTGGTTCCTACTACTGATTAATAATTAATTTATAGCTTCATACCTGTTACCATGGTTTTTCTAAGATTGTGAATGTACTGCTTTTTTCTCCTGTTAAAAATATGTTAAATCTTTTAGAGAAAAGAGGTCCATATTAGACAGAAACTGCATAGCTCTGTCACAAAAGCCATTTCATTTAGTGCTATTTTAACAATATTATGTAGCTTGCAGTGAGTCAAAGATGCTTAGCCTCTTAGCCCTGCCACGTGGCAAAAATTTTGATGGACCTACAACAGATATTTTTCCAAAATAACATAAATCTCTCATCTGGTGGTGTAGTGCCTAAGGCATTTGACTGCTAACCAGAAGGTTGGTGTTCAAACCCACCAGCCATTCCTTGGAAGGAAGATTGGGCAATCTACTTCCGTAGAGATGCCACCTTAGAAACCCAAGGAGGGGTCACTATGGGTCGGAGATGGCTCAACGGCACATGACAACAACAACAATATTTTCATAAAATTTCCAATAAATTTGTGAGGAATAAGTTGATAACAGAAAGAAGAGGTAGAAATGCCTCAATATCTTCTTGACAAATTCTTAAGTCCTTAGCATGAATGGTGTCCCGGGTTCTTGTCTATTTTGCATCAACTGCCGCCCTTTCACACCTTGAAGTGAGTAAGACCCTTATTTCTAAAGTTGTTTTTCTTTTCCTCCCTCCCCCCCTTCCCCCCTGCCCCCTGGACCTTCACACTTGTTTCCTTGTAATTTTTATCTCCTTACATACACCAGCTTCTTGAAGCTAGACACATTTATTGAATGGGTGGATAACTTTAATCATTATCTCAAAAGCAAAAATATTTGTTAAGGGTCATTTAGGTATTGAATGGCTTGAAAGCCAGGCATGTAATACCTAATGTTAGGTGCTATAAAGCACAAAATGAAGTATGAGATGTGACACTTGTCCTCAAGGAGCCTAGCAGCTGAGAGGAAACACACATATTGTCAAAGCATAAGCAAATACAATTAGGACCGAACATGCAACAAGATGAGAGGCGTTAAGAGTTCAAATAACTATTCACTGATGAAATTAATTATTACTGCCTTTTACTTGTATCCACCACTTGTCTATTGTTTTGTTGTACTGTGGTGGTTTGCATGTTGCTGTGAGGCTGGACGCTATGCCATGAGTATTGCAAATACCAACAGGATCACCCATGGTGGACAGGTTTCATCAGAGCTTCCAGACTAAGACAGACTGGGAAGAAAGACAAGCCATCTACTTCTGAAAAAATTGTATATGAGCCACAATAGAGTGGAAGAGTTACAAGCAGAGCATGAAACCATTAAGACAACTGCCAGGAGACAGCTCCCAGCTCCATCACTTACTAGCTTTTTGACTTTGGACAAATTACTTAACCTTTCAGTTTTCCATCTATAAAGTAGATATAATAACAGAACTTAACTCTTAAGGTGATCATGAGATTTCACTGAGTTTACTATATGAAAAACATTAAGATCAGTGCTTAGCACATGCCGGGTACTTTGAAAATGTTAGTTATTGTTATTATTTCTTATATTAGAAAAAAATTATCATGAAATATTTTTTCACATAATGTTCATCCTTGTTATTATTGGAGGTATCTACACTGAACAAGCATACATTAATAAGCACAAGTTTAACAAGAACTACATTTAAAGCTGCAGCAGGTGCACATTTCTAAGTGATCTAGCACTGGAGCAAGGCTTGTTAACTTCCTTCTTACCTGTATTTTGTTTTCTCTTAACCTTTGTGTCTGTTTTCTCTGTTTTCTTGAGTGAGAGTGCCATACTTTGAGGTTTTCATCTAGCACAGGGTCAGTAATCAATCTATTAGTTCTTCCTCTGTGATCACAAGTACTTAAATCACAAACCTAAAGTTCTAAAAATTAACCCTAGGCCATAAATCTTCTTTCATGAAGAACACGTTTTGAGATATATAGATACAGACATAGACATATATATGTTGTTGTTGTTGTTTTGCCATCAAGTCGGACCCAACTCATACGACCCCTCCTTCGGTTTCCGAGGCAATATCGCTATGGAAGTAGATTGCCCAACCTTCCTTCCAAGGAGTGGCTGGTGGGTTTGAACATCCAGGCTTCTGGTTAGCAGTCAAGTGCCTTAGGCACTATGCTACCAGAGCTCCTAGACATATATATAGAGAGAGATACATTAAATTAAAATGAGACCAATGCAATATGTCATTGCCTAAGACCAAGCATGGGATGGTTAGTACATGATTTGCATGTTGTTAATTCTAATAATTTCCTTCCATGTTGTGTTTTACTTATGCCCATTTCTAATTAAGAATATGCAATTTCATGTATTTTTTCTTTGCATGGAATTAGGGTAATCTCTTGTAGTTTATTAGAAAGACAGAAGTCTTGGTTGACAAACAGACAAACAAAAACCCTAATATATTGTTTTCTTTTAAATAGCAGAATTCTTACATGTTAATTTTCTATTTATCTGTACTATGCTATAGACAAATAACAATGTAAGTGGTTATCATTATAGTTATGCTGTGACTGGCAGTTGAATTTTATTTTTAGTTGCTTTTTGTTTTTTTTTCTTTTATAGCTTTTCACCTCTGGTTCCTACATCTGGATTGTAGCCATAAGTGGACTTGTAAGTGTGATTTTCCCCCCCTCAACCCCTTATCTCTTCTGAAAATAAATTAGAAAAATGTCACATTTAGATTTTAGATCATGATTCAACTGTCTGCAATATTCTTTTTACTATGTCAGGTCCTGACTCAATGCTACTTCTTTAGTGATTAAAGAAAGTCACTTACACAGTTAACTGAGATGAAAGAAGCCCAGTTTCTTTCTGTTTTGAAAGTAGTTTTAATGAAAATTTTTCAGTGTTAACGTTTAGGAAGATACTTGTAGCCCATTCACAGTAGGAAAAAATGACAGAAAGAGAAGAAGTCAAACTTACTAAAAATAATAAGTTGTTTTGTAAAAAGACATTGTCATGTGAGGGAATAAAATAAGGCTAATTGGAAAATCAGGTGGGTTGGAAATGACAAGATTCATCAGGATCTGTGGCCAAACAAGGAAGAAGGGAATGAGCTGAAGCATTGGGACAGAGTTCTTACTCTTTGTGCTAGAATTTCTTGACCTTACCCATCCCCACACTACTTTTTCATTTTGTTTTATTTTAGTAAGTATTTATCTTGAGCTCTTTATTTATGAGGTATTTAAAAAGGAAATTTAGAGCATCGAGTGTTTTTCTTTATTCATAACAAATTTGAACCCCAGACTTCTGTAAAAATAAATTTACAACTAGTGAGTAGAGGGCATAGTTTTAATTTCTTTCTTGTAAATGACTAAGAAAATTACAAAATAGATTAATACACATATGTGTAAGATTAAAGGGAAAGGATTTGGAAATAATGATTTATTCCACTGCAGATATTTTAAGGAAGTTACCACATGCTTATTCTTGCTTCCTGGGTAAATGACTGAAATTTCTGAGCCAGTGTGTCATTATTTAAACCTCACATCTCCCCTTCCTTCAAATCAAAAACCAAACTCACTGCCATTGAGCCAATTCCACCTTATAGTGACCCCCATTGGGTTTCCAAGGCTGTAAATCTTTACAGAAGCAAACTGCCTCATCTTTCTCCCACTGAGTGCCTGGTGGGTTTGAACCACTGACCCTTTGGTTAGCAGCCAACTGACTTAACCACTGTACCACTAGAGCTGCCCTTCCTTATGCTCTCTATATTATTTCTTTTCTGTGTCCTTTTCTTATTGAATTTCTCCTTTTATCTCCAGCACTGATGTGCTTCCAGTCAAAATTCTGGGAATGCAAATCACTTTGTTTCTATCACACTAAATATTTTCAGCTCTGCTGAGAAACCTAATTTACTTCAGGATCATAGTACTGAACCTCACTGGGAGGCCCTCAAATAAACTGAGCCATTGGGTATTAAGACTTAGGGTGATTTAAAGGCATCCTGAGTTCAGCTGATTCTATGGGGCTCTTCTCTGTCTAACCTCATCCTTACTTGAACTGTCAGGTTGCCCGACAGTTACTTAGGCTGCCTGCAGATCATAAATAAATAGTTCATTACTTTAATAATGATAGTAGTATGTTGTTAGTTGCCGTCAAGTCAGTTTTGTCTTATATTGACCTTAATGCACAATGGAACCAACAATGCCCAGTCTTCCGCCATCCTCAAAATCATTGCCACTCTTGAGCCCATTGTCACAGCTGCTGTGTCAGTCCATCCCACTAAGGGTCTTCCCCTTTTTTGCTGACCTTCTGCTTTACCCAGGAACTGGTCCCTTCTGAAAACATGACCAAAGTATAAGAGACAATGTCTAGTCTTTCTTGCTTCCAAGGAGCATTCTTCTGGCTTTATTTGCTCCAAGACAGATTGGTTTGTTCTTCTGGCAGTCCATGGTACATTCAGTATTCTTCACCTACATCATAATTCAAATACATTAATTCTTCAGTCTTCCTTATTCATTATCCAGCTTTCACATCATTTCAGGCTATTGAAAGTACTGTGGCTTGGGTCAGGTACACCTTAGTGTTCAAAGTGACATCTTTGTTCTTTAATACTTGAAAGAGGTTTTTTTTTGCAGCCAATTTGCCCAATGCAATATATCATTTGATTTCTTGATAGCTGCATCCGTGGGTGTTGATTGTGGGTCCAAGTAAACTGAAATCTTTGACAACTTCGATCTTTTCTCCATTTAGCATGATGTTGCTTATTGGTCCGTTTGTGAAGATTTTTCTGTTCTTTCATTTGAGATACAATCCCTAGTAAAGGCTGTAGTCTTTGATCTTCCTTGATAAGTGCTTTTAGTCATCTTCACTTTCAGCAAGCAGAGTTGTATCATCTGCATACTGTAGGTTATTAATGAGTCTTCCTTCAATCCTGATGCCATGGTCTTCTTCATAAAATGCAGCTTCCCAGGTTATTTACACAGCGTATAAATTGAATTAGTATGGTGAAAGGATACAACCTTCATGCCCTCCTTTCCTGAGTTTAAATCACACAGTATCCCTCTGTTCTGTTTGAATGACATTCCTGAGTTTAAACCACACAGTATTCCCCAGTTCCGTTTGGTCTGTGTATAGCTTCCTCATGAGCACAATTAAGTGTTCTGGAATTCCCATTCACCACACTGTTATCTATAATTTGTTATGATCCACATAGTGGAATGCCTTTGCATAGTCAATAAAACACAAGTAAATGTCAGTCAGCCGCAAGGATCCAGGTGAGTAGAGGGAACTCAGGCATGCCCAGAGCAGCAGGGCGGGAGAGCGGGAGAAAGGGGATTAAAGGGAACTCAGGCACACCCAAAGCAGCAGGGCGGGAGAGTGGGAGAAAGGGGATTAAAAGTCAGGATCCCGGACAGAGGAGCAGTCAGCCACAGGGATCCAGGTGAGGAGAGGGAAATCAGGCATGCCCAAAGCAGCAGGGCGAGAGAGCAGGAGAAAAGGATTAAAAGGCCTAGGAATCTGGACAGAGGAGGGGTCAGCCGCAGGGACCCAGGTAAGGGTGGTAGGAGAGGTTTCCAACAGGGAGACAAACTTGTCTGCCAGTTTGCCCTACTGTGATGATGTGTTGATGTGAGTTTTGAGGCTGAGCCACTGGTGATTCAAACCCAGTGGGATGCACATGGTGCACAGGTATCAGCCCAGCATAAAGACTGAGACAAACTAGGAAGAAGAAGGAGGCTGTCCACTTCTCAAAGAATTGGCCAGGGAAAACCTTATGAATAGCAAAGAAACACTGTTTGTTACATTACCGTGCAACTTTATGAATAATCTGGTTAGGTTAGAAGGCTCTCAAAATAGGACTGGGAAAGAGATGCATCATCTGAGTTAATCCAGCCTTAGTCCTATGGATAAGGTAAAGCTATCGAGACCTCCATTTGCTGTTGTGGCACCACTCAAATTGAAGGGAAACAGCTACAGACATCCATTAATCATTGGAACATGGAATGTACGAAGTATGAATCTAGAAAAATTGGAAGTTGTCAAAAATGAAATGGAACGCATAAAGATTGATATCCTTGGCATTACTGAGCTGAAATGGACTGGTTTTGGCCATTTTGAATCAGACAACCGTGTGATCTACTGTTCCGGGAATGACAGTTGGAAAACGGATGGCGTGGCATTCATCATCACAAAGGATGTTTCAAGATCTCTCCTGAAGTACAGTGCTGTCAGTGATAGGATGATATCCATATGCCTACAAGGAAGACCCATTGATACGACTGTTATTCAAATTTATGCACCAACTACCAAAGCCAAAGATGAGGAAATTGAAGATTTTTATCAACTTCTGCAGTCTGAAATTGACC